CACCCCTCTCCTACTACTCTGAAATGGGTAAAAAAAATTATATTACTGGAAAGAATCAGATTAACTTTATATACTTTTATGGGTATCTCTTCATATTCGCCCAGACCTTTCAAAACCAAACACCTCTGACACATCTGTTCATTCATATTTGGGAATATAATAAAAAAGAGAGACAAGTTTTCTCCAATACCACTAGCAATGCCAATGACGTCTGTAGCAATCTCCATACCTGCATTTAATTACAAACCATGGTTGCATCATGGGATTAATTATCTATGCCAAGAATATCAAAGGGATTCTATAACACATTTGTTGGAATTAAAACCCAATTAAACCAAAGAACACCAGGTATATTCTGAGGGCAGTTGTCTCTATCTCATTTTGAGCAAATATGCCTAAAAATTTAAACAAAATATACGTTCCATATGTTATAGAAACATAGAAACATAGAATTTTCTAAATAACTTCATTAGTCCCTGGCCTCAGAAATAATCACCCCTAAATCCCTTTCCTCAGATCTTGAGGTTAGGACTCTATCAAATATTGTGTACTCTGCCCTTGGGTTTTTACATCCAAGATGCATTATCTTGCACTTATCCACATTAAATGTCAATTACCACAACTCTGACCATTTTTCTAGTTTACCTTATTCATTTGTTATTTGGCTTATCCCTCCTGGAACATCAACCTGTAGATGCGAATATCCATTATGCTCAATATCCTAGCTGTTCATATAAGGGTTAATTTGACCCAAGAATAAATTTGGAATTGTATCTCCAATTCTCGGAAATAAAACTTATCTATTTATGGGAAATGTTATTGGAACATGATTTTGGATATCTACATGACATGACATGACATGATAAGGATTCTGGAATGACCTTGTTAATTGTCCAAGATTTCGGTATTTGTAATCATCTGGGTTTTATCCAATATGCATACATTATGTAACATCGAATTATAACTAAAAACAGCTGTTTATAACTTGTGAAAAACAATGTCATTGTCACGCCCACATGCTCATTTTTCCCCCTCCCATGCTGCTATGAAAATGGGGTATAAATATAACTGACGTATGAATACAATTGGAATTGGTTATTGAACACGTCTCTGCTATTCATTTCCAATTTCCAGAGCTCTGTATGAGTTGGCAAATATCCATCATCCACAAAGGGCCCGGGCTGATTTTATCCCCAACAAACTGGTGTCAGAAGTTTGGGTGCAATTGTGAACGGAATAGCAGGTAAGAGGATCTTTAGCCCCTTGGGGACACAACTTCTGGAATTTAAGGGTATCATGACGGAGTATTTCTGTCGTGTGTCCTTAAGGGGTTGGGGCCCTTTGCCTGCTTCTGCCATCCTCCCACACATTGCATTTCTTGTTTTAATGGGGTTTTTCACTATTTCAATTTTTAAAGGAGATTTACACAGGATAATGTCTTTGGTAGACATGGTATTTTAAGTCTTAGGTAGACTTCTATTACTCCACGGGTTGGAGTAACGCCTTTGGTAGGCAGTAGCAGTTATGTGCACATTTCCTCTTTGGTAAGAGGTTCACCTTTGGCAAGGTGTTAAAAAGAATTTTAAGCCTTTGGTAGGCTGTGATGTCCCTAGATCCCTCTTTGGTAGAGGTTGCCTTTGGTAGGTTGTAAAACAGATTTCCAGTCTTTGGTGGACTGTGGTATTTATTTAACTTAGATGTAAATTTTGCAGACTAAAATGTTTAAAAAAAAAAAAAAAGGGGGGTTAAAAGGTATGATGGATGTTTGGCATTACTTCGGCTTGCTAATTTATGTGCTATTTTAAGATGTGCAACGCTGAATTTAAGCATAAAGTCTTAATTGAGGGAATGTCAAAAGTACATGTAAAGGTGATGATGAATAAGAAAAAATTAGAGGTTATTTAAGGGGGGCTACAAATTCTAGAACTAACATGATTTCTTTGCATGTATGTTTGTTTGCATAATGAGCCCTTATTTTTATATTTGGACAAAAGTACTATAAGCCCACTACACTTTTTCATGAGAGTGGGATGTATGATTGTTTATATGATGAGCCCTTTATTTTCATATTGGGACAAAAAGTCACTTCATTCAAAACGTCAAACACCACATTCTTTCTGCCCTGTGTGTTTGTTGCAGAGAATTTATGTTGTAAATTTAGAAGAGAGCAAAATGTATATTTTCAGCGGTCCAACACATGCTTAATTTTGTGCTGTAAGCTAACTTGTAGTATTCCAGTACGTCACATGTTGTATGTGCTTTAAATTGTATGTATTCTGTAAATTGTTGTATGGGGTTGCTGAGATTTTATTGATGGTGACCCAAACTGTGCAGAAGTGGGTTTGAAATTTTGGTCATGGAATGTAGGATCAGAAAACCATGGACAAAGGTTTTTACCTGTGTTGATATGACTTTTGGAAACTCAAATTGACCGGTCAAAATTTTGCCATGCCTTTAACATGGAGTAGTATAAATATTTTGAGTCTTTGAGAGTTCTGACAAATGCAGGTGATGCCATGTCTGTGTAATCTGGTCCAAATGTTCTCTTCCGTATAAGAGAGAAATTCCATTGACAGGGTACATATGTCGCAACTGGTTAATGCAAGTGTTATACAAATGTATAAGTCAAACGCGTTATATGGCCGTACGGGATCCCTTCTTTAAAAAGAAAAAATAAACCCTTTGGTACCAGAAATCTTAAATAAATCTGATACAAACTAAAATTGGTATACCTTACAATAATATGTTCTGAATACAGCTGTTAGAAGTTTATTCGGTGTGAATGGTGATTGTGATAAATGTGTGTTTTGGTTACTCATTTTAAAGGGTGCAGTTTAATTGTCATGTATGTTAATGGGTATTTTGCTGTGTTATTTTAAATTATATTTGAATAAGTTTGTCTTAGTATTGATACAGATGGAAATGGCAGCATAATAATCTATTAAATAACTGATTTATTATTGAATACTAGTCCAAGAGCAATATGAGTTGTAGTCTTAAGAAAGAAAAAAAGGAGGGAGGCTGTTTTTGTAAATTTTAGCTGATTTCCAAAATTCTGTTGCAATAATGGACTTCCTGCCAAAATTTGACTTTCCTGTCCAGTTGCCAGGTGCTCTGATCTAATCTTAAAGTAGTACTGCTTGCATAGTTTGCAGACATGCATAATGCACAAACATGGGAACCTATATTATCTCTGTCACAGAGTGTGACATTTATTAATTTATTTTGGATTAATATGCTTTTTGTATTGGCATGTCTGCTGGATATCTGCTACATGTTTTCTGTGCTATAAGATGATGTGTGATATTACAATGAGCATGAAGAATATTTAAAGAATATTTGCATGTCATTAACGCAAGCCTTTAGTGTCTTTTTACAACAGATTAAAAAACGCTGATCAGCCAACAAGAAAGGGGCCCCTGGGAAAGAAAAAGAAAAAATATATAATTTGCTTTTCAAAATCGTGGATCCACGTTTCAGTATTATTAGGGAAGTATTTCGAGTTAACGCTACTTTTAAAGTGCCTTGCATTATTTAAGAAAAGAAACATTTGTTATCTTAAACATAAACAATTGTTATGTTATATGGTTATATAACAAGAAAAAAATTATGGATGTATAGGATAGTTTTTTTTCCAAGATTAAGATTCATCTAGTATGCCTCATTGATTATAGGAAAATGATGAAATGGTATTTTTGAGGCAATTCTTAACTACTGCATTGTATTTGTATTGGTATATTAAAAGCATTTTGCAGACCCAGAAGAGAATAAATAATATAATAATTATAAAAGGAACCATACTATGGGAAGAGGTCACCCTATTAAATTGCTAAGGGGTTAAACTCATTTTGATAAGCATATTAAATTTAGTTTTTGTGGTTAGAATTTTTGATACTCAATTTGAACTCAATTGAAGTATTACAACCATATCCTTGCAGGTATAGGAAACAGCTGCAATATGATTTTAATATTTGCAATATATTAGTGTTTTCAATGTATTCTGACAATGGAAAAGTTCCTAACCACATGTCTGCATTACACCTATGACCCAGACTGTCAGTATTGCAAACCCTATATGAAGACTCTGCTTTCACTATTTATGTATACACCCCTAGACAACCGTGCTATACATGCACAATAAATCTTCAAAAGCTTATTAATATTATATCTGTGTGGTACACAAAGAGGGGTACACAAAGAGGGGGTGTGAGTTAGGTCATCTCGACCTTCATATGGAATATGCTTCCTCCTTGTTCACTTTTGGTTAAACTGTTGGTCTGTGACTGGCCCTCTTTGAACTGAATTTCTTGGGAAGATTCATGAGAAAGATACAGCAGGTTGTTTTGATATAAAGAAAGAGGGAAAAGTATGTTGTATCGGTCACAAAAGGATTGTCATCTTAAGCAGGCGAGACAAAGAAATTTTGGAGGTGATAGGAGATTGAATCAGAAAAAATTTAGAGGCAGAGGTAGAGAATTTGATCAAAGGATCTAACTTTTGTAGAGGTGGTAACTTCAGCACTGTTTTAATTATGGATAGCAGGGATTCACCCAAAGGTGCTTGTGGTGAACCCGGTTCTCCTGGTCAACCTGGCCCAGCTGGCATTCAAGGACTCCCACCCTGGCAGGTTCCTCAATACCAACCACAACTTTCAAGCTATACCCACACCCAACAACCTCAGCCTAATACACAGATGGTTCATGTTTTTAATACTTTATATATAGTTTTGATAGATAAAACAGTGTTAATGCTGGCTCTTAGAGGATGTACAAGCTGAAGTTGGGACCTAGACATTGTTTGCATAGGCTGTGCAATGTGAAATAACTAAAATAAAATAGGATAATAAGTATGCTTAGTCAATTTGTAAAGTGGTATAATAGAGGCATCTGCAATAAAATAAGTGTGTTTCCAGGACCTGACAAGTGAGGGCAACTTAATATAACATATGTCTACAGTTTGCTGTCCCTTCCTTATCAGAGGCCACTTGCAACACAGCAAGACAACTCTTCCGAAACCTGTATTAAACAAAGCACTTTAGAACAATAGTAATTTATTTTGTTTCTCCTATTTCATTCCTAGTTGTTCTGAAAAAAAAAATATATTGTTTAAGTGGGATAACTGTATGGAGGTTCCAACATGTATTAAAACATGATCACACACCGACAGAACTGGTGGCTTTTTGGACATCGGGATCTATAAAAGGTTTCGGTTTCCAAAGATGTTATCAGGGTCCACAAAACTGACAGACTTCAGCATTCCAATTTTATTAAAGTAATTAATTGAGATTATCAAATCAAGGTTTAAGATTAGGAACAGCATTTTATTGGGAATTATACCAATATGTATATGTTAGTGTTTTAGTACTCAACAAGCATTTATATAGAATGAGTGCTTCTCTCATCCATAAAAAGGCATTCTAAAGGGAAATTATGTATTAAAATTTTATAAAGGACAAATTCAATGAATTATAAGCAAAACTAAGAGAAGTACATGTTACACTAGTTAAGAGTTTAACGTTAATTTCTAATTTGAGTTTAGCCTAGATAATTAATTTATTGATGTCGTACTGATCCTTGTGTTTGTATGATTATAGAGACCGTACTGGAGTATTTGTGCTGCCTGATATTTGGGACTACACACCAATCTCTCTGGCTGACCTACCTGCCTACCTACCTTTTTTGCAATTAAATCTGTTTGGTCAAAATCCATGCTGGCTGAAGAAACTGAGATGCTTACTTATGAGGACATAAACTAACTTGGAAAGTCCTGAAGATGCAGTGCTGTCTAATGCCGCTATTTCTGTATTACCCTTTCAACAATTGGGGTGTTGCACAGAGTATTGTGGTGAACATCCAGCAAACAGAAGAATTAAGAACTATGCGGAAGCTGACATTGTCTTGTTGTCAGCCATATTGCTACACTTAGCTATGTTATGGTGTCTAAGATTCTTTATACTCCTTGAAAGACTTATAATATTTTTCTGGACTATGCTGGACTATTGAACTATTTTGTTATTTTTATTTTTGTAGAGTTAGCCAGAGAGAGAGGAAGTGTTAGCTTACTCAGGCATGGATGTACTATGTGTGTCATTGATGTATGTTGAGTGTACCAAGGATGGATTCCCATGTATTAAGTGTGGATATGACTGGACCATCAAAATAGGGACTTGATTAGGAGGCATAGGACGCAAGGTCATGATTGGGATTATTGCTAGAATTGCAAACTGATTAGAAATGATCTGATGATTTAATATGTAAGTGGGCCTTTTCAAACTAATCAAGAAGTGTTTCCCAATCCCGATACCCGAGCTATTTACTTACATAGTGCAGGTTTTATAAGTCACTAATGCTGTCAACGTGAGGGGATGACATGTCTACACAGTCATGGCCCTCACTTAGAATTTACCCAGATGTGCTTTTTTCCTCAATTATGAGTTTTTGCCACTGGGTTTTTTGACCTGGCCCACTGGGTGGACTGGTCCAAAGAGGGGAAATAGATTTTATTCCCATTTTTGATTATATGTGTTTACGTTGTGAATTATAACAATAATATCCCCGTTGTTGGGAATAATATACTTTGCCTGTTTTGATCCAAGGCTCAAGTTGCAGATAACATGATGTGCAGTCTGTTTAAAATTGGTTAAGATGTCAGCTGTTTGAAATTTTTAACTTGTATACTTAAAAGATGTGTACAACAGATGATTACAGAAGCTGAAAATCAACAGCTCGATCTCCTCTTAAAGGGAACACCTACGGCACAGAGCAAATGGGGGAAATCAAGGTGAAGAAATAATTAAAGTCCCGCAGACGTGATTAGCAGGTCTGAATATACCTCCTTTGGTTTCTCTGCCGCAGGCCTCCCATGGATATTCCGTAAGGTAGATCATGATATGATCTAAGAGGAGAATTGTAGATGCGAATATCCATTATTATATCCTAGCTGTTCATATAAGGGTTAATTTGACCCAAGAATAAATTTGGAATTGTATCTCCAATTCTCGGAAATAAAACTTATCTATTTATGGGAAATGTTATTGGAACATGATTTTGGATATCTACATGACATGACATGACATGATAAGGATTCTGGAATGACCTTGTTAATTGTCCAAGATTTCGGTATTTGTAATCATCTGGGTTTTATCCAATATGCATATATTATGTAACATCGAATTATAACTAAAAACAGCTGTTTATAACTTGTGAAAAACAATGTCATTGTCACGCCCATATGCTCATTTTTCCCCCTCCCATCCTGCTATGAAAATGGGGTATAAATATAACTGACGTATGAATACAATTGGAATTGGTTATTGAACACGTCTCTGCTATTCATTTCCAATTTCCAGAGCTCTGTATGAGTTGGCAAATATACATCATCCACAAAGGGCCCGGGCTGATTTTATCCCCAACACAACCCTGTTACATATCTTAGTATCATCAGCAAAAATACATATCTTAGTATCATCGCAAAAATACCATTCCTTACCATCAAGACCTTATGCAATATCACTAATATAAATATTAAAGAGAATGGGTCCAAGTACAGATCCCTGAGGTACCTCACTGGTGACAAGCCCAAGCTTCGAATATACTCCATTGACTACAACCCTCTGTTGCCTGTCACTCAGCCACTGCCTTACCCATTCAACAATATTGGAATCTAAACTTAAAGATTGCAGTTTATCGATAAGCCTTCCATGTGCAACAGTGTCAAAAGCCTTACTGAAATCTAGGTAAGCAATGTCTACTGCACCACCCTGATCTATAATTTTAGTTATCCAATCAAAAACATCAATAAGATTAGTTTGGCATGATCTCCCTGAAGTAAACCCATGTTGTCTCTGATCTTGAAATCCATGTGTTTTTAGATGTTCAACAATCCTATCCTTTAAAATGGTTTCCATCACTTTCCCCACTACTGAAGCAAGACTTACTGGACTATAGTTGCACGACTCCTCCCTATTACCTTTCTTGTGAATGGGCACAACATTCGCTAACTTCCAATCTTCTGGGATTACTCCTGTTAACAATGATTGGTTAAATAAATCTGTTAATGGTTTTACTAGTACACCACTAAGCGCTTTTAATAGCTTTGGGTGTATTCCAACAGGTCCCATTGACTTATTTGTCTTTACTTTTGACAGTTGGAATAGAACCTTTTCCTCTGTAAACTCACGTGTAATAAATGACTTGTTTATCCTTTTTCTTAACTGAGGTCCCTTTCCTTCATTTTCATCTGTAAATACCGAACAAAAATATTCTTTGAGGCAGTCAGCTAGACCTTTATCCTCTTCTTCATACCTTCCTTCTTTTGTTTTTAATCAAACTAATCCTTGTTTTACTTTTCTTGTCTCATTTATGTATCTAAAAAAGTTTTGTCCCCCTTTTTTAGTGACTGTGCTATTTTCTCTTCTGTGTGTGATTTGGAAGCTCTTATAACTTGCTTAGCCTCTTTCTGCCGAATCTTATAGATCATTCTGTCTTCCTCACTCTGGGGTTTTTTATATAATTTTTTTTTACTATTTTGGGCACATCTGCGGAGTACCACAGTGATTTCTTTAATTTTTTTCTTTTACTGACAAGCCTAATGCAATCTTCTGTTGCTTTCAGTAGTGCAACTTTTAAATAATCCCATTTCTCTTGGACTCCATTTAAATTGCTCCAGTCTGATAATGACTCTTTTACACATATTCTAATTTTAGAAAAGTCTGTTTCTCTAAAGTCTAAAACTTTTGTTTTTGTGTGGTGTGACTCAGTCACTGTTCTTATATTAAACCACACTGACTGGTGATCACTGGATCCTAAACTTTCACCTACAGTAATATCTGATACCAAATCTCCATTTGTTAACACTAAATCTAGTATGGCCTCTTTACGAGTTGGCTCCTCAACGACTTGTTTTATAGACAATCCCAGTAGGGAGTTTAGAATATGTGTGCTCCTGGCACAAGCAGCTATTTTGGTTTTCTAATTCACATCAGGAAGATTAAAGTCACCCATGATGATAACTTCCTGACTCCACAACACCACTTGTCTCAGTGCCTGAAACTGTCTCCACAACACCACTAGCCTCAGTGCCTGAGCCTGTCTCCACAACACCACTACCCTCAGTGCCTCTCTCTACAACACCACTACCCTCAGTGCCTGTCTCTATAACACCATTACACTCTGAAAGTGCAGAAAATGAATTATGTAGAGCAACAGACTGTGCAATATGCCTTTTATCCACAACTCTAAGTCTACCAGATCCTACAGTAATCCATCTGCCATTCCTAGTATGTCTCTGCGGCAGTGGCTTTGCAGCAGTTCCAGTCTGAGTTTGTTTACCAGATAATTTACAAATCTCAGACTTCAAAAATACAATCTCCTGCCGCAAGATAGAGAACTGTCTACAGATTAGACAACAACCAAACCTCCAAAAAGTGGAACGTGAAACAAATGCATAGCAACTATTACACTGAACTAAGTCTGCCATTCCAATGAAGTGAATAATTTAAATCAAACGAATCTTAACTTTTCTTTATCCTCCTAAATACCTCAGATTACCTCCAGAGTATCTCCAGAATATCTCCAACCACACACTTAGAAGCAGCACTCTCCAGAATATCTCCAACCACACACTTAGAAGCAGCACTTAGATGAACCAACCAAGCTATTTTAGCCAAGCTAATGACAACAACCCCTATATAACTCCTAAAATCACCACCCACTAGGAATGTTTAACACCTGGGTAGGCCTCTGCTTATTTGCAAACAATAGCTAATTAACCAGCAATCAATAGCAAGTAACTAGCTTAATCAAATCAAATGCCTTATAATTACCAACAGGAAATCAAACCTTGTGCTATCAGTAACCTTTTCCTACAGATGAATCTTACCTGTAACAGTAAAAAAGAAAACTCTAAGCACAAATCTTAGACAGTTGAAGCTGTTAAGATTACTTAATTGAGAATGTGGGGAATAAATAGGAAGTTTTAGAGAATCCTGGTACAGGGAATTGGGACATAACATCCAACTTCAACTCACTTGTGGTTCCAGCAGAATATAATGTATAGGTGGTATATGGTTCCAGATAAGATTCATTGCACATCCTCTAATATCTGATGGAGATGTAAAATAGAAGTAGGGTCAATGTTACATGTTTGGTGGACATGCACAACCAATACATCATTCTGGGCTAGGGTATCAAAGTTAATACCTAATTCCATTGGAACACCATTTCCACCATCCCCAAAGGTGTATCTCTTAATTATGTTGCTGAGAGAATTACCTAAATATTCACGAGTAGTGCTATACCATATCTTGATAATTGCTAATATCTTGATAGCCTACTTGTAGAAAACTACATCCCATCCAGATTACAAGAATTTACTTAACCAGGTAAACTTAAACTGGATATTTAAGACTATGACTATGGCTCAATTTGGTCCAAAGTCACTGTTTAAAAAGCATGCAAGCTGTGGAATAAGTTTTTGGAAGTAGAATCTCAAACGCTCTACCTTAAACATGCTTTACTGTCTGGCATACTCTTAGGATTTGAGTAAAGTCCTGCATTGTGAGACAATGTATTGGATGTTATTCTATACTTGTAATACTACCTTGTTTCTGTAATGTAAAAATTCTAGTGAACAAATTGGAAAAAAAAATGATGTTCGAGAAATCTCATCTGATAAATGTTCTTTGGAAGCACATACACTGATCTTTTTTCATTAACCTTAATCATTAAAAAAAAAGCCAAATATAAGCTCCATGTCAGTACAAGAGATGCCCCATGCTCTTCTTACTCTAAAGCATTGCTGACCTAGTAGGCTGCTAGGGGGAAATAAATTCAATACACCTGGGGAACTCAATTCCCTCCCATAGCCATTGGATGGGGGCTACAATTAAATCTAGAAGGTTGGTGAACATGCCAATTTCAAACACCTTCCTAAAAAAAAAATAATATATCCACCCCCAGGTGGCAAGGTGTCCCTAATTCCCAAACCATCTCCTAAATAAAGAAACACCCTACCTATCACCCTACCTGGGGAAAAAATGAATCTATTACATGCGGCTTATACATACCATTAGATTATTCTTTTTACTTCAAACTACTTTCCTTCAACCAGAAGAAAGGCCAGAAGAAAAAGTTAAGACCTAGCATAAACAAAGGTCACAATATAATGCAATTTAGTCCTTGGAAAATTATCTGACCAAATTTACTAATGCCAAATCCAGTTGAATATTCTATTGTCCTGACCATATCTGCAACATTTATGTCAATGTATTTGATGTATTTTTTACTTTAGTGCTCTTTGTAATCACATTCTACAGAATGCATAGGATATGGAAAGTTTAGACTAATTAGTTTGCACTAACTTTAAACAAAATTAGCACATTTTCTAATTAGTGTTCACTTGCTTTAGCAATAGCAGTCAGCAGGTAAATAGTAAAAAAAAAAAACACAAAACCATTAATAGTGCAAGGGTCAAATGTGATGGCTGGCTGGCACTGGTACTAAAGCTTTAAATAAAATTCTATTAATATGACCTTGTCTAACTTTAAGGAGAATTCATACCTCCCTTGTGTCATTGTGTTATTATAGCCCATTCTAACATTACTGCAATAACACAGATTATTATATACCCTTAGAGCTCATTGTAATGTTACAGCTTATTGTAGTATTACAGTTTGTTGTAACATTATAGCTCATTGTATTATGGATAGAGTTGAGCGGGCACCTCAATGTTCGGGTCCGGCGGGTTCGGCCGAACTTTGAAAAAAAGTCTGGGTTCGGGCTCGAACTTGACCCCAAACTTGACCCCGAACCCGAACCCCATTGAAGTCCAGGGGGACCCGAACTTTTGGGCACAAAAATGCCTCTAAAAAACTCCTGGAAAGGGCTAGAGAGCTGCAAAAGGAAGTAAAATGGGGGTAAGAGTAGGACAAGTGCCCTGCAAACAAATGTGGATAGGGAAATCACTTAAAATAACATAAAAATTATTAAAAAATACAGCTGAGCTATAAAATAACACTAGATGGAATCTTTGAATTTAGCTTTGGAAGAACATAAATCAAAATCTAAAGAATGGCTGTCAGGAGGATCAACAGAATTATCCATTTGAGAGAGGGTTGGAGTGCAGGATATTCTCTGTCATTGTTTAAACTGAGCTCAACTCCTGATGCATGGAGAAAAGGCCTTCACAAGCCTCTGCTATTGTGTACATAGTTTATACTAAGTGACACATAGGTTGAGGAGGCGGTGACGGTGGAAGCGGCGGTGGAGGAGGTAACCAACAATGTTTTTTATAAATATATTTTTTATTTTAATTAGGGTAGCCCCAAAATATATAATATATATAAAAAGAAAAATTTGCGGCCTGCGGTGCATTTCTTGCAGTCCTGATGCATGGAGAAATGCTCAACTCCTGATGCATGGAGAAAAGGCCTTCACAAGCCTCTGCTATTGTTTTCCTAGTTTATACTAAGTGACCCATAGGTTGAGGAGGCAGTGACCGTGGCAGTGGAGGAGGAGGATGAGGTAGCCAACACTGTATTTTAGTTTTTTTTTTTTTTTTATTGTGGTAGCCCACAAAATATTGGGACATACAAATAAAGAAATATTTGTGGCCTGCGGTGCATTTCTTGCAGTCCTGATGAATGAAGAAAAGGCCTTCACAAGCCTCTGCTAATGTGTACCTAGTTTATACTAAGTAACCCATATGTTGAGGAGGCGGTGACTGTGGCCGTGAAGGAGGAGGATGAGGTAGCCAACACTGTTTATATATATATATATATATATATATATAAATATATATATATATATATATATATTTTTTTTTATTTTTTTTTAATTGGGGCAACCCCCAAAATATTGGGACATATAAAAAAGGACAACTCTGTTCTGCAGAGTAGCTGTGACATTATAGTTGCGCAGGAACTTTGTTGACTCTAGAGAACCTCGGGCAAATCGCACATCCCCGTGGCGGCGACTTTGCATGCGGATGTCATCCATATCAACTTTCTATGCCAGTTTCTGTGCCTACCATGGTGACCACGGGTTACGGGGAATCAGGGTTCTATTCTGTACAGGGACCCTGAGAAACGGCTACCACATGCAAGGAAGGCAGCAGGCGCGCAAATGACCCACTCCAGACGCGGGAAGGTAGTGATGACAAATAACAATACAGGACTCTTTAGAGGTACTTGGAATCCTTTAACTCTGATCAATTGGAGGGAAGTCTGGTGCAAAGCCACTGACCCGTGCTTGCTGCAGCTGAAACTCCACTCTCGCCTGCTGCTGCTCGCAAAGTCTCATAAGGCGGTGAGCGGGAAGGCCGAAGTTACGCTGCCGCGCAGACAGACGAGCAGCAGCAGGGCAACACCGCCAAAAGCGCGCACAGCCGCTACAGTGAATGTCATATCCTGACAGTGTCTGGGTCCTGGTCACCGGAATGGCCACCTCACTGTGAGACTACGAATGGATCGTTAAATCTGATACGAACCCAAACTTTGCAGTTCGAGTTCGCTCAAGTCTATTATGGATCCTTTGATCACTACATGTATTACTTGGATGACTGGTAATTCTCGAGCTAATACATGCCGACAAGCCCTAGGGGACGGCCGCTCCACTTTTGCACCCTGCTCCCGCTTATGCTGTGTTGGTGCCTCTGTGCCACAGCGCCTCTTCCTCCAAACTGCACATGTCACTCACATGACCTTGATTCCATGTGGGGTCTAGGACCTTATCATCCTCCACATCATCTTCCACCCACTCCTCAACCCTACCCTCCTTGCCGGTATGCACACTGCAGAAAGCCACAGCAGTTGGCACCTGTGTTTTTCCAGCATGTAAAGTCTGCAAAGGACATATGGAAATTGTTTTAGAATTTCCTCCAGGCAACAGTTTTCCCTATAAACTGACCTCTCTGTTTGACTTGTACCTCTTAGCTATTGATCACTGGTTTAAATATTGCAGCTTGTTATCTGGTAGTTTCTAGGGTAGAAAATATCAATCTGTTTTCTATCACTTAGATCTGTGTAACAAGTGTTGTAGGTGTGAAACAATATTACAAGTGACCGATGTAGTAAATTTGAATCAAAGTTCCATTTGCAAAAAAATTCTCGCCCATCTTCTGTGGGTTATTACATTTTTAAGATGTAGACTTATTGTATCACTCTAGCCATGTACAGGTAGATTGTCTGGCACGTTGTTTTGGTGTTTGGTTTTTAACTTTGTAGTTGTGTCTCTACAAAATATAGAAATGTATATTACTGTTTCTGTATATGAAGCGATCACAATAACACAAATCAAGCTACACAAAAATTGGTAATTCACAATATGACATCTGAAAAGCACATGAAAGGATGCTGTATGATTTTTTTTAAGAAGAACACACTACATGAAAGTCCTGTTCACTAGAGTGTGTAATCATGAATGTAACCAGTAAAACTTTGTTGTTTACAGCCACTGGTTGGCCCATACATATTTTAAAACTTGTTTAATTTTGTTGTAGCATGACTTGTAGATATGAAGAGCAGGCCCCAAAATGTACTATTTAGCAGTTTAGCACCAAAACAATTAGAATGTTTACAATTACGCTGTAACCACACTATTAGACGCTTCTACTTAACTCTCAGATATGAAGAACAGGCCCAAAAATGTACTATTTAGCAGATTAGCACCCAGAAAATAAGAATGTTTACCACTGCACAGTAAGCACACTATTTGACTCTCAGAAATGAAGTGCACCACAGGCCCCAAAATGTACTATTTAGCAGATTAGCAGCAAAACAATTAGAATGTTTACAAGTGTGCAGAAAGCACACTATTAGACGCTTCAATTTGACTCTCAGATATGAAGTGCATGCCCCAAAATTTACTATTTAGCAGATTAGCACCCAGAAAATTAGAATTTTTACAAGTGCGCTATAAGCACACTATTAGACGCTTCTATTTGACTCTCAGATATGAAGTGCAGTCCGCAAATGTACTATTTAGCAGATTAGCACCCAGAAAATAAGAATGTTTACCACTGCGCTGTAAATGCTGTTTTCACACTAAAATACTCTTTAGCAGTTTAGGACCCCCAAAAAATTAAAGTTTTAAAACTGCAATGTGACAGCAGTATTTGACGATTCTATTTGACTCTCAGTTATGAAGAGCAGGCCCCTAAATGTACTATTTAGCAGATTAGCAGCAAAACAATTAGAATGTTTACCACTGCGCAGTAAGCGCACTATTTGACGCTTCTATTTGACTCTCAGATATGAAGTGCACCACAGGCCACAAAATGTACTATTTAGCAGATTAGCAGCAAAACAATTAGAATGTTTACAAGTGTGCAGAAAGCACACTATTAGACGCTTCGATTTGACATCATCTTCCACCCACTCCTCAACCCTGCCCTCCTTGCCGGTATTCACACTACAGAAAGCCACAGCAGTTGGCACCTGTGTTTTTCCAGCATGTAATGTCTGCAAAGGACATATAGAAATTGTTTTAGAATTTCCTCCAGGCAACAGTTTTCCCTATAAATATTGTTGAAGTACCTCTTAGCTATTGATCCCTGGTTTAAATATAGCAGCTTGTTATCTGGTAGTTTCTAGTGTAGAAAATATCAATCTGTTTTCAATCACTTAGATCTGTGTAACAAGTGTAGGTGTGAAACAATATTACAAGTGACCGATGTAGTAAATTTGAATCAAAGTTACGCTTCGATTTGACTCTCAGATATGAAGAACAGACCCCAAAATGTACTATTTAGCAGTTTAGCACCAAAACAATTAGGATGTTTACAATTGCGCAGTAACCGCAATATTAGACGCTTCTATTTGACTCTCAGATAGGAAGAACAGGCCTCAAAATGTACTATTTAGCAGATTAACACCTAGAAAATAAGAATGTTTACCACTGCGCAGTAAGCGCACTATTTGACGCTTCTATTTGACTCTCAGATATGAAGTGCACTGAAGGCCCCAAAATGTACTATTTAGCAGTTTAGCAGCAAAACAATTAGAATGTTTACCACTGCGCAGTAAGCGCACTATTAGACGCTTCTATTTGACTCTCAGATATGAAGTGCAGTCCGCAAATGTACTATTTAGCAGATTAGCAGCAAAACAATTAGAATGTTTACAAGTGCGCAGAAAGCACACTATTAGACACTTCGATTTGACTCTGAGATATGAAGAACAGGCTCCAAAATGTACTATTTAGCAGATTAGCACCCAGAAAATAAGAATGTTTACCACTGCCCTGTAAGCATACTATTAGACGCTTCGATTTGACTCTCAGATATGAAGTGCACCCCACTAAAATACTATTTAGCAGTTTAGGACCCCCAAAAATTTAAGTTTTAAAACTGCAATGTGACAGCAGTATTTTACGCTTCTATTTGATTCTCAGATATGAAGTGCACCCCACTAATGTACTACCCCACTAATGTACTATTTAGCACCAAAACAAAATTACTTTTTAAAACTCTGATGTAACCGCGGTATTTGAAGCTTCTATTTGACTCTCAGATATGAAGTGCACCCCACCCCACTAATGTACTAGTTTGCAGTACTCTTTCCTAAGCTGTCCTGAAGCATCCTCTCCCTACACTAATAACACCGCATATGCGTGCTGCGCTACGCGACTCCAGCTTATATATAGAGGCTGGGTCACATGCTGCACTGGCCAATCACAGCCATGCCATTAGTAGGCATGGCTTTGATGGCTTCTAAGGGCACACAAGTCAAACGCTTGTTGATTGGCTGCCCTGCAGCCTTTCAAAATGGGCCATTAAATCGCCGAACACCGAACTCCAACCCGAACATACACTGATATGTTTGGGGTCCAAAAAACCGCTCAACTCTAATTATGAAAGCTTGTTGTATAATTTTATAGCCACAGTTTATTGTATTATTCCATCTCATTGTAGCATTACAGTTTATTTTATTAATACGTAAAGGTTATGCATCTATGAATAGTTTTCATATATTTCTTTATTTTCATTCAAATATCCTATAATATTTGATTAATAAATATGACAAATATTATTTGTACTACTAAAAGCCATAATGATCTTTCAAACGCCTGGTGGTGGATATAATGTACCCTACTTTTGTAATGTCTTTGGGTTTATCCCCTTAATCGTTTAATTTATTTTTTATATGAATCTACTCATGATATTCTTAGTGGATCAAGAGAAAAAACTATTTGTAAGACCAACAACAAAGTCTTTCCTCCTTTTCCTATTTTGCGCACAGGAAAATGTAAAAATATTCTATAAATGATTATGTAGACCAAGGGTTAGCAACCGTATCTCACACTGTAGTGATTCATGATGTCACTAAGATTAACCCATTGTTGTGTGTAGAACTAATGCAAGCTTTACTCTTCATTACTTACTTAAGCCATCGGACAAGAGGGATGAGGCCTTCCTAACCATTATGTTTGACAGCTTATAGGTAGAGAAGGGATATTGGGAACAGGGAGAGACACATAAACCTTGTAAAGAAAGGGTATAAAGAAGATGAGAGAAGTGTGACACTGAAAGAAAAAGGGGACCATGATAAAAAGGACAACACTGCTACATATTGGGCAATGAGAATGGAAAAAGGTAGATGCTGCTAAAGATAGTTTTAAAAAGTATATGATCAGTGGGAATAATCAGCTAATCCCTTTAATGTAAATATGCATCTTGAACATCTGCTTTATTGTAACTTTAGATTTTACAATGGCATTGAGTCTGCACATTGTGTCATTGTGTTGTTTTGATGTATCCGCTGTTCCTGACGCGTGAACCTAAAAATTCTTACAATAACAGAAAAACATCAAAAAGGAAAAATAAAGATGCCAAATGATGCTCACATCTGACATTTTAGGTGGTTATAACATCCTATTTTAAAAAACGGAAATGTAAATACAATGAGATTTTCACTATATCAATATATTTCTTAAATAAGCTATTCATAAATATTAAGCACATAATTTATAAATACATTGAATTTATACAAATGTACACATATTAAATATTATGCAATAGTAGAAATGGTATATGTAATTTTTTTCTTGGGCAAAAACCAATGGCATAAAATGTAGGAAGGTAGTTAATGAGTGCCGAGTATTCTGAGACACTTGGGTAGAATAATACTTCTTACACAACACATCAACATCAGCAGCCCACTGAAACTAACTGGGGGCACAGACCCACAAATCTACTTGCAGCAACAGGTAGAGGCCTGATACTGGGAAAGGGGAGTTTAACTCGGGGCTATAGGGCAATAACCTAATCCTCCCTGCAAAAACCAAACAAACTTGCCACCATAGTTAACTATACCTAGCTTGTATGCAGCCCAACATTACTATTGTTACTCATAATGATGTTATCCAAGCATACTCATCGTAATTTAACTGAAGCTGTTCATTTATAATTAACTTTATCACATGCATGTCTAGCGTAGAATGTTTAATACGTCTACTAATGTTACAAAGCTTGTAATTTTACAGTTAACCAATAAGCCTGTTTAACCTTGAACGAACACTCGACTTGTATTAGCCTATTAGAATCATACCAAATAGACAAAGCGGATTATCAATCTTACGTTTAACTATTAATATGCCTAAATACTTTAACATGTTATTTCATATAAGCAATGTTTACTAGCCTGTTATATTCATTTTTAACAAAAAATGTGCAAATGTAAAAAACCACGAACATGTCTGCATGAACCTGCCTGTGTCTGCTGTCGTGGCTACACGGGCCTGCATGTAAAATCTTTTGCACCAAAAATAAAGAATTAAAAAAAACAAAACAAAAAAAAACATTTAAAATTGAGTGAGTTTAATGGGCATGCAAAGAAGGGTAATATAAAAACTGTAAACTGATCCTAGAAAAACAAATGTTGGTATTGACATAAAATTACTAGAGCACTTAATAATAGTACAGATACCCAAGACACTGCTCCGGTTGCAGTATGTGAAAGTGAAGTAAATTCAACTTTTAAAATTTATGAGGAGTTTGATCAACTTTTCCCCATTAAGGGCACAACCATGTGTTGGGGTTCAACTCAAAGACACTTGAAGCCTCTGGAATTGAACATAAAATTTACAAAATACATCAGGTATTAGAAGGATGTGATGGACACAGTGGTGATGTCAGTAAATCTGGTCTTGTCTCATGGATTAACCTATTTCCAGTTTCAACAAGTTTAGCTGAAAGCAGAGGCTCCATGTGTAGACCTGCTCTACTTCTGCAAAGGTCTCTGGATTAATCAATGTGCTATGTTAGGAAAAGTATATGATAGGTGGGAAGAATCAGCTACATTCCCTAAATGTAAATATACATCTTGAACATCTGCTTTATTGTAACTTTAGATTGTACAATGGCTTTGAGTCTGCACATTGTGTCATTGCGTTGTTTTGATGTATTCGCTGCTCCAGATGTGTGAACCCAAAAAATCTTACAACAACAGAAAAACACCAAAAAGGAAAAATATAGATGCCAAATTATGCTCACATCTGACATTTTAGGTGGATAGAACATTCCATTTTAAAAAATGGATATTGCAGCTTCAGGAAAAAAAAAATGCTGATCGACGAAATGCATGAATACATCAGAAAAACAAATCGTGGCATTTTTTGTCCATGAGGTGCTTTGGGTTTTAGACCCCCGTTATGCATGACATCAATTAGATCATTAGGTAATGGAAATTATGCATAGATGATGTCACTCTATGTACAGGGTTTGAAAATAAGATCTGCTCTGTTAAGTTACGGGCAAATCATTCAATTGATACAGCATATTGCTTTATCTGGAATTCAAAATGAATTCACAATGACATTTAAAGGGACGCTGTAGTCACCTGAACAATACAGCTTAATGTAGTGGTTCTGCTGTCTATAGACTGTACCTGGATTATTAGCACTAAAAACACTGCCTTTTCAGTGATAAGACATTGTTTACATTCATGCATAGTAACACCTCTAGCTGCAGTCACTCAGGTGGCCTAACAGGGTGCTACCTAGTTGAGAGTCGCACAGTGTATGATTGTTTGCGGCAATATTTTAAAAAATTTACTATTTCCATGACAACTAAAACAATATTAATTTTACCCCATTATTATACTACTTTTACCTGGTGATACTTAGATACAACCGTCCCCCATTTTACTTGTATCTATTTTAAATTAGTTTTTAATATTTATCTGAATATATAAAATTTTCACAGGCAAAAAATGTTAACAAAAAGTTTTAACTGGAATTTAGTTTATATTTTTCAAATACAGACATATTGAACATATACATACATAGAGTAAAAGGTAATTATTTGTCTCACAGTTGAATAAACAGATTGTCCCTCACTGTTCTCCTACAATTATTTATATTATGCTCAGTGGGATATGATAATATATTTAAATAGTTTTCCCAGTGCTGCCCTAATTTCTTGGTTTCTAAAACTATATATTATAGGATTCGCTAATGGTGTCCCTAAAATGTACAACAAAGATCTGAACTTATTCATATTGACAGAGTTTTCCCCATATGGAGCTATGTAAACTACTATAAGAGTTACGTAATAAGTGCACACAGTGCTTATGTGGGAACTACAAGTGGAGATGAACTTTCTCCTTTCAGTTTTAGAAGAAATGCTAATAAATGTAAATGAAATTAAAATGTACGTGATGACAATAAAAACAAATGGGACAAATATCATATTGACTGAGATGACGAAGTCCAATGTCATTAAAAGTGATGTGTCAGATATAGATAGTGCTACTACAGGACCAAAGTCGCAAAAGAAATGGTCTAAATAATTGAGACTACAATACTTTAACTGGCAAATTATCACAAATTCACCAGATGCTAAAATAAAAACTAGCAACCAGGAGCCAGAAACCAGTGAGAGACAAACATTAGGAGTCATTATTAAAGTGTAACTGAATGGTTTGCGAATTGCTACGTATCTATCATAGGACATTACTGCAAGGAGTAAACACTGCACAAAACCAAAAACGCCAAAAACATAGAGTTGAGTTAAACAGCCAGCAAGAGGCACTCTCCTCTCTTCCATTATTATAATATTTAGTGTAAGTGGCATAACGCTTGTGGTGAGTATCAAATCAGCTAAAGCTAAGTGTTTGAGGAAGTAAAACATTGGAACATTGAGATGGTCAATAGTTGTCACCAGTACGACGATGAGAAGATTTCCACACAGTATTGCAGTGTAGATTATTAGGAACAGCATGAAGAGAAGACCTTTTAGATGGTAGAAACCTTGAAACCCCAAGAGCAGAAACTCTGGGACTTGAGTCTGGTTATCCTCACACATTGTGTAAACGTTTAACATTGGTAGATAATTGAATGGCCCTTCTCCTAAAAAATAAAAAAAATCAATTGTTGGTGTCACTTTGAAGACAGACCATGTCAAACCAAGATGTTAAGCCAATATAGTAATTGTCTACAACCCATTAAACCAGGGGTACACAACCTTTTGCTCTCCAGATGTTGTGGAATGCTTCTCCCAAAATGCTATTACAGACAATGCTGACAAAGCATCATGGTCCACAATGTATGGAATTCCAAAGGTTGCCTATTCCTTCATTAGACAATCAGCCTGTCATATTTTTATAGAGAAAATATCACATATAGTAAGTGGATATTTTTTACTATGTTTACTGAATGAACAGTGTGATATGTTAGATTTATACAATAGCTTAATAGATGTTGAGCAATGTTTTAGATTTTATGACATTTATACCAGATGGCTACCAGAGATTTATCACATATAGATAACATATTACAATGGTGAAAGCGCTGTCTTCTCACAATTGGCTACTTTATTTATTTGCAAAACATGATCACATGCATAGGAGAAATGAAGTTATATATTGCTCATCAGTTTAATATTCCGACACTTGGTAAAATGTTTCAATTACTCCAATGCTTAATATTTATAAAGATTTGTTCCCCAGGAAATTATAATTATAAAATATGGAATTTAATGTTACATTTCTTCTCTTACACTAAATATATAAAATGTGTGTACACAAAAATAATATACACAATAATATGTTTTCTATATACATGTTTTCAATGTGAAATCTAATCCAATACTTGTTCTCACAATATAGAGCTGGACTGACGTGAGTCCAGTGACAACTCCAACTTACCTTTCCATGTGGAAACTGTTGCATTTAAAATTCCCATTTTTATAGTATTCAGAACGGAGCATTAGAAGTAACCTAATTGCTTTGAGAAATGCATTATTGTCCCAACAGAGAAAAAGGAAAACACATTAATTAGAACAGACTGGTTAAGTAATTCAAAAAGATATGAAAGGGCTGCGCCAAATAAGGGTAGATAGTCCAGTAAAGTATTGCTAGGGTGCCAATAGATGGTCTAGGATACTTGATAGAGTTCCTCTGTGGATGCGTCTAGTGTAGACCGTTCCGTATATGTAAATACAAGAGAGGTAGAGGCGACTAATGGTATAGTATGAAAGTTCTGGGTGTGATAGCTAACAAAAAGTAAAGAACTCACATTCAAGAGAGCTATGGCCAGCTCTGGTGTGGATTGCGTACAGCGGTATAATCCCAGCTTATGGGATATGTAGGGAGGGGGTCTCCGTCAACACCGTCTGGTAGTCCAGAACTCGGAAAAGAAAGACAGAAAGCAACAATAGTGCTCTCAATTTTGATGTGGTTCAATGTGCAGGTAAGAAGAGGTAAAAAACTCACATTTGAGGGAGCTATGGCCAGCTCTGGTGTGGATAGCGTACAGCGGTATAATCCCCGCTTATAGGATATGTAGCGGCGATACGTCCGTCAGCACCGTCTGGTGATCCAAGGCTCCAATATAGAAGAATAAAAAGCAGCAATAGTGCTCTCAATTGTGATAAGTTAAGAGAGTAGTAGAGAAAATAAAATAATACTCACAAAGATAGAGCAGAGGTACTGCTCTATGGATAGGCGCTGGTGGTATGATCCCCACCTAGGATTTCTTGGAGTACTGGAACTTTAAAATTGCCAGTGGAAGTAAAAGTAACCAGGAAAGGTTAAAATGCCAGGAATAGGTAAAAAAAAGTTGTTTAAAGTGCATAAAGAGTGCAATAAAAAGAGGATTGGCACAATAAAGTAGCCAAAAAACTTTTATTGATCTAAAATACACAGTAAAATATATAGAAACATAGAAACATAGAATGTGATGGCAGATAAGCACCATTCGGCCCATCTAGTCTGCCCAATTTTCTAAATACTTTCATTAGTCCCTAGCCTTATCTTATAGTTAGGATAGCCTTATGCCTATCCCACGCATGCTTAAACTCCTTTACTGTGTTGACCTCTACCACTTCAGCTTGAAGGCTATTCCATTCATTAACTACCCTCTCAGTAAAGTAATACTTCCTGATATTATTTTTAAACATTTGCCCTTCTAATTTAAGACTATGTCCTGTTGTTGTGGTAGTTTTTCTTCTTTTGAATATGGTCTCCTCCTTTACTGTGTTGTTTCCCTTTATGTATTTAAATGTTTCTATCATATCCCCCCTGTCTCGTCTTTCCTCAAAGCTATACATGTTACGATCCTTTAACCTTTCCTGGTAAGTTTTATCCTGCAATCCATGAACCAGTTTAGTAGCCCTTCTCTGAACTATCCCTAAAGTATCAATATCCTTCTGAAGAAACGGTCTCTAGTACTGCGTACAATACTCCAAGTGAGGTCTCACCAGTGTTCTGTACAATGGCATGAGCACTTCCCTCTTTCTACTGCTAAAACCTCTCCCTATACAACCAATCATTCTGCTGGCATTTCCTGCTGCTCTATTACATTGTCTGCCTACCTTTAAGTCATCAGAAATAATCACCCCTAAATCACTTTCCTCAGATGCTGAGGTTAGGACTTTATCAAATATTCTGTACTCTGCCCTTGTGTTTTTACATCCAAGATGCATTATCTTGCACTAATCCACATTAAATGTCAGTTGCCACAAATCTGACCATTTTTCTAGTTTACCTAAATCATTTTCCATTTGGCTTATCCCTCCTGAAACATCAACCCTGTTACATATCTTAGTATCATCAGCAATAAGACATACCTTACCATCAAGACCTTCTGCAATATCACTAATAAAAATATTAAAGAGAATGGGTCCAAGTACAGATCCCTGAGGTACCCCACTGGTGACAAGCCCAAGCTTCGAATATACTCCATTGACTACAACCCTCTGATGCATGTCACTCAGCCACTGCCTTACCCATTCAACAATATTGGAATCCAAACTTAAAGATTGCAATTTATTGATAAGCCTTCTATGTGCAACAGTGTCAAAAGCCTTACTGAAATCTAGGTAAGCAATGTCTACTGCAACACCCTGATCTATTATTTTAGTTACCCAATCAAAAAAATCAATAAGATTAGTTTGGCATGATCTTCCTGAAGTAAACCCATGTTGTTGCTGATCTTGAAATCTAAGAGTTTTTAGATGTTCAACAATCCTATCCTTTAACATGGTTTCCATTACTTTCCCCACTACTGAAGTAAGGCTTAATGGCCTATAGTTGCCCGACTCCTCCCTACTACCTTTCTTGTGAATGGGCACAACATTCACTAACCAATCTTCTGGGACTACTCCTGTTAACAATGATTGGTTAAATAAATCTGTTAATGGTTTTGCTAGTACACCGCTAAGCTCTTTTAATACCTTTGGGTGTATTCCATCAAGTCCCATTGACTTATTGGTCTTTACTCTTGACAGTAAACTTCTTCTGTAAACTCACATGTAATAAATAGTGATGTACCGAACGGTTCACCGGCGAACGGTTCCCGGCGAACATAGCATGTTCGCGTTCGCCACGGCGGGCGAACATATGCGCGGTTCGACCCGCCCCCTATTCGTCATCATTGAGTAAACTTTA